CGAGAGCGCGAGCTCTGTTTAGCTTTTGAGCCGAACAATTGCAGTCATGCGGTTGGCAGCAGCCGCTCTGGTTTATTTACCCTCTGCCTGACTGCTCGTCCATCTGCGGCTTGACTTCCACCCGATCAACGGAATGCTTTCGCGTGCAGCTGCCTGCCGACGAATTCGGCCAACGACCTCGCCGTAAGAGTTAAGCATTCCCTTTGGAGTGGACTCAAAAGGACGGGGAAGAGGCTAGACGATGTGTTTCATTGTCCCCCAGTGTTGCGTCAGCCGGGCTCGGTCAGTGACGCTCCCTCCGCCGAGTCAGAAGGTTGTGGGTTCAGAAGTCCCACGTCAGGATGTCGAGCTCACATTATCGGCTGACGTTCCAACGCAGTGCTTGAGGGGAGTGCCCTGCATTGCTGGAGGTGCCGCTAATTGATTGCTGTCCTTGGGATGATTCGTGAAACCGAGGTTCTATCTGCCGGTTACGGGCGGACTTTAAAGTCATGGCTCTGCATTAAAAGGGAAGGGAGTGTTTCCTGGTGTCTTCCTCAGCAGTGCCTCCTGATAAATTGCTTGTTCAATTTACACCTGTTTAAGTGTGAAACCGAGCAGTGTGCAAATTAGCTGACACCGTTGCCCACGAGCACACTTTGCTTCACACCGAAGGTGTTATGGACACTTTATCAAATGCAAGCGCGGTTAATTAGCACTGACTTTGCAGTGGAGAGAGTGTGTGGCTTTAAGATACGGTCCCTCAAAGAAATGTGATAAGTTGGTTAGAAAAAACAAATGGCCAATTCGGTGACGGACTGGACTACAGGCCAGGATGAGATACATTTGGCTTTGATGCTCCCCATGGCTCACACGTTAAGAGTGGTTCTTCAAGCCAAGTATCAGAGAGCAGGATGTTTGCAGAGCTGGACAACTCGGGGGAATTAGTGGCTTCAGACGATGAAGGGGAGGAGAGAAAATTGACAAGGATAGAAATTGGAGGATTATAAAAGTTACTTTTAAAACATTGCAAATCCTCATTTGCATTGTGAAGGCACAATCGGTTTTCTAAACCTTTACAAAAAAAAGTAATAATAATTTTATCACGTCGTTAAGACGTCTCAACACTCTTCATGGAATATATTGCAAAGTGAATTGACTGTATATTTTGTGGGTGAAATGCTCAGAGTCCCAGAAACAGTTGCGGATTGAGTGACCAATTATTCTTTTTCCTTTTTTTGGAGGAATTATTATCACCGGAAAAACCATCTGCAGCTGATTTTTTTTTTAAAAATTAAAAATTATTTGGTTTATTAAATGTATCTACATTTAGACTATTATCAGTATTTTTTGGTTGAATTCCTAATTTTATATAATTTTTTTTTAGAATTCGCATGTTTTCCACTTTGGTTTGCAATGCGACGCGACAGGATCATGAGAGTTAGGCGAGGCAGACTCATGATAGTGAATGAGGTTGAGTATATTGAGAGCAGACATCTCGCCGTCTGGTTTGTAGATGCTTGGAAATAATGATAGAGGCTGAGTTAAAGAGGATAGATATTCCAGTTGCTCGTTCTCTTAATAAATGGGTCTACATTACAATCACAGCGATAACAGTTCTGTTAAGTGACGGAATGAGAAGTACATTTCCCTTTGTAATGTAAAAACGTTATCATTTCCCATCCACGGTGAAACGCGATCTAACCCTTTCAGAACAATGTGAGTTTGCATTCCGGCTGCATCGTGCGTTAACTGATAAAATCATAGGATGTTATTGCAGAGCAATAGGTAGATTGGATTTGAGTAATAGACAACTGGAGCCCTTCGCTCTGGAAATTATGTGAGGCTGATCTGGTGAATATTTAAGAGCAGTAACTCACAGCGCTCTCATCTGTGGGTTTAAGCCCCATATCACGGGACATAGGAGTCCCTTAGTGTTCTTGTTAGAGCGCTCGCCTCACATGTGAGGGAACCCAGGTTTGATTCCCATAGGCACGGTTCCTTACTCCACACGCCTCGGTAATTAATAGCTTTGATTGGAACTCCTGACAGAGGAAGCTAAATGTCACTCGTTCCAGACCCGCCTGCTGTCCAGTAAAATCCAAAACCCGGGCAAAATCAGACCATCCGCCCCAAAAGTCTCCACTGGATTCTTTCTCCTCTCTTCCCTCTGCTGTGCGCAACTGAAGACTTTCCTCTTCCACCGTGGCTACGGTCACCTCCCCTCTCTCCCAACGTGAAACCACGTGCTAGTCAAGTGCTAGCCGCAGCGAAGAGCACCGTATAACTAACTGCAAGTTGCTGCTGCTGCTGCTGCTGTTGTTGATGTTTCCAAATGGGAGAAAAGAAAGATTCCCATTAAACATTTCCCCACCGCCGAGGAAAAAAATGGAGGCAGATTCCAGCTGTCAAGAATTAGGCTTCCTATCATTACTCACTTCTCTCGCTCTGCTAATTACTGCGAACATTCTCCTCCGCTTCCGTATTCCTGTGCGTTTCCATGACAATCTTTTTTTTTCCCCCCTCTCTTTCTCTCTCTCTCTCTCCCCCTTGCCAAGAGTTTGAGGTAAGCCACATTATCTTGGATTAGCAGTTCCTGCTGCAAGCCTCCCTCCCAATGGCATCTGTCTCGGTGCCTAATTGAGAATGACATCCGAAGGGTAACTCCACACAGGAAACGCACACGCACGATAAAACAACACTTGTAAATAATTCTCTGATGGAAAATGAACGGGAGGGACCACTCATCGCAAACACAATGCCCGGCCACAGCAATAAGGAACGGACGGGAACTCGATTACACTCATTAAAATAAATGAACCAAACACAGCGAGCAAAATAATGACAAGGATTTACTAGCGCAGTCGAGCTTCACTTAAAAAGAAACAGGCAAACGGCATCGTGCCTTTTCCTTCCGGCCTTCTTTGATACAACCGGGCACTAAATGCCGTCGATTGGGAGATTGATTTCAATCTGACTTGTGATGTCCTGTAGGGTATTGGTTAGAGCACTCGCCTCGTAAATAACAATAATAATCCTTGCATTTGATACAGTGCTTTTCACGTCTTCTCGACGTCTCAAAGCGCTTCACAGGATATACTGGAATGCTGGAATACAGGAATGCTTTAAGGAACGGCCGCCAATTGGGCACAGCAGAGTCCCACAAACAGTCCTGGATTGAAAATGACCAATTTTATTATTGTTTTGTCTTTTGGAGGGATTATTATTATTAGGCTGTGTGTGGAGTAAGGAAACTTGCCCAAGGTTTCGCCCCCTGCCTGGAATTGAACCCAGGTGTTTCGTTTGCAAGAAGCGAGAGGACCCGGGTTCGATTCCCCGGGTGGGGACGAAACCGTAGGCAATTCTCCTTACTCCACACGACTCTGTTTACATAGCAGTACAATACAAAATTACATTTGAATAGCGCCTTTCACATCGGAGCCAGACTCACAAAGCAATTTCACAGCATCCTCTCAAGAGGACCATTTGGTGTGACCCTGAAGTGGGAGTAATTTTGTTTGGGTAAAGTTGAATCTCTGCATGATTCTGCGTTTTCTTGATTTTTAATATTGTTTTTCCGGGGCATGAGCTGGCTCGAGAGGCTGAAATCCACCTGGTTAAATAAATAAGATAAGGAATGCTTTAAGGAACGCTGCAGATCTCAGCCCTGTCTTTCTGTAACTAGACTTGACAGGGAGAGGCTGCGCAATTCTGTGGTTTTATTCATGAATTGCATCAAATTAATCAAAATAAAGATCATTTTGGTGAGGAAATGGCAGAGAGAGCAAGTCCTGTAAAACAGGACCTCGCTGCTGCTGTATGTTAAGGTAAAAATAGCATAATAAGTGAAACCTAATAATAATTATTATTACTATTACAATAATCCTTGCATTTGATATATGGCCTTATCACGTCATTGAGACGTCTCAAAGCGCTTCACAGAATGTACAGTAAAGTGAATTGATTGTGTATTTTGTGAGCAAAACATGATGTAGTGGTGATGGCTGGTATTTTTAGCAGTAAAAATGTACTAAGCAGCTTAAGGAAGCAGCTTATAATGCGGTAATGCCTGATGACTTTAGGGATATCAGTGAGGTTGGAATTGTGTTTGTGCATGGATGCCAAAGGAAAATGAACTGCTCATTGGTATTACATGAGATAATTGCTCCGCACAAGGCAGACTGAATGGAATTGTGGGTTTGTTCTGGGACGTGGCTTTAATGGAAGAACAGAAAATGAAATTAGCCTTGAGTTTTTTTTCTCCCCCGACAGAATATCAGTCATTGTTGGGTGATGTTTTACAATTGGAACGGAAGAAATGTGGTGCGATTTTCCTGCTTGTCAACCAGGATTGTTGTTGATGATGGTGATAATAATAATAATAATAATAATAATAATAATAATAATAATAATAATAATAATAATAATAAAAGTGTTTTACAAACTGATACTGATTAAAAATGAAATGATGGTCCTTCATGTAATTTATAACAATAATCCTTGCATTTGATGTAGCGCCTCATCACGTCATCGAACTGTCTTCAAAACGCTTCACAAACATCACTGTCAATTATTCTGTAAGTGGCTGTGCATTTTGTGGGCGAACACAGCAGCCAATTTGCACAGAGCAATGTACCACAAACAGCCGTGAAGTGAATGATCAATTCTATCTTCCGGGATTGTCGGTCAGGACAAACATGGAGAAACTATTATGTCAGTTAATCTGTGAAGCGCTTTGAATCGTCTCTACGACGGGCGAAGGCACTATATTAATATTATTATTATGAATTATCATTATTAAACTCCCTTTCTCTGTGCCATGGGATTCGTCACGGAAGTGTGTCAGACTCGGCTACACAAATATATGCGTATAAAATATACATAGAGTCAGTATTGTTTTGATGGTTTAATATCCTGATAGTTCAAGCGCGCCCGGACGCTAGCCTGCGTGAAGGGCGCTATATAAATGCAAGCTGTTGTTGTTGTCGTCTGACGGGCTGCTTCTCTTCCTCTCGTTTCAGGTGTGCCATCGACAGCGGAGTGACGAGGGTGGCCTGGTTGAATCGCTCCAGCATTCTCTACGCAGGGAAAGATAAGTGGGCGACCGATCCGCGAGTGGTGCTTTTGACCAACAGCAAAACCGAGTACAGCATCGAGATACAGGGCGTGGACGTGTATGATGAGGGTGCTTACACATGCTCGGTCCAAACACACAATCACCCTAAGACATCTCAGGTGCATGTGATAGTACAAGGTATGGACACTGTGGGCTGACCATCTGCATGCCTGTGTGAGTTGCATATAGAGAAAGAAGAGCTATAAAGTTTCTCGGAACCCAAAACTTTTCTCCTAAAGAACTAACGGCAGCAAAGGCCCCCGTCCATTAAAAGACGCGGCAGATAACATAAATCATCTGACACGCGCAGCGTGTGCCTGTTTTACCTTAAAACGTAACACTGGTTGGAAGTTCTTAAAGTCAGATTTTAGAAATCATTTTTCTGCAGTTCTTTAAAACAAACTGTCTTCCAAATCAGGACTGAATTGAAGATTTTTTCCACCTCTCTGAATCCTCTTGAGTTTTAAACCAACATTGTCTTACAGACTAAGACTAGGTAGGGTTTCAGGTTTCTGCGAGCAGTGTTAATCCTTAAGGAATAGCCACACACCTCATCCCAAGTCCATGACACAGCTTGAGAATAGTGTTATTCTGAAAAAAAAAGGGAAAATAGATATAAATTTGCCATGTTGTCATATGCTATTTAACACAAAGAACCTGTTATGAAATCCGCAGATAAAACGAACATAAAACTGAATGATAAACATAATTTAATACATCTTCGCAGCTGGATTCTCCCCATGAATTTAATATTGTCCTCTTAAGATGCTCGTGGTCTAAGATTTAAACAGATATGAAGTTGAACCAATCAGTGACCTAAAAAAGGACCTCAGGGTCCTTGCCTTAAGGCCATCGCCTTGAACACCCAGATTGGATGTGGTTTACATCTAATACCTGGTTGGTTGCTTTCCTGGGCATTGACCAAACCCAAACACTTTCTAAAATATTTAGAGAGATGTGGGGGTGGGGGCTGGGGGGTGGGGGTGGTGAGGAAGGCTAGCTCCAAGGTGCCATGTCAGAATTGAGCCAGTCCTCTGTGATAGTCTCCTGTCCGGTTCCTGAGCCAGGCGAGTCCAAAATACTCCAGGGCACAGCTACTGGGGCAAAGACTTATCCCACTCAGCTCCTGTTAATCCTGCAAACCAAAGCCCCAACAACAACAACAACAACAAGATTCCATTTATAGAGCGCCTTTCACGTCGGGAGGACGTCCCAACGGGTAGGGTGGTCTTTGCTGGACAAGCAGCGGGAACACTTGCCAGACAGCTTTAGAGGGGATGAACCAGTAAAGTGAATTACAGTAATATGGTTGTGTGAGTGTGTGGGTGGGGGGGAGGGGGTGGGGGGGGGGAGGCAGAATGCAAGGAAATCTTGGTCCCCTGATAGCTGAAGTTAATAAAAAATTTACAACCCACTTAAAGCAAAGACTAGAGCGAATCGCTGTAAGATTTCAGAACATGACAAGGAGAGTAATTATTTAATAAAATAGTATCTAATCTTGGTTTAATCTTGAAACACCCAACGATTATTGATTCAGACGCAAGGTAAAATGAGCTATCTGTACTTTTTGTACAGGTGACATTATATGAACATCTGTAACATTGGCAATTAACATTATTAGTAGTAGTATTAATTGGCACACACTGAGCACAGGACTCATTTGCTAGTCACCGAGACATCGTCTACACAAGACAATTCCAGCTCTACAACTAATCATGACCATTATTGTACTTTAATGGACATAAAAACCATAAGAATTTCCAAGGTCCGTCCAGTTCGTCTTCCAGCATCCTGGCAGTCGCGTGCACATTTCTAAATATATTTTTTTATATAAGTTATATTTTTTTTGCATTCTTTTTTTTTAAAAGAAACGATTGGGTGACGGTCGAGCCGAGCATGACTGGCTGAAAATTTCACTGCTCAATCGCAGTAGTGCATTGCTCTACTCCACCCACTCCCTGTACTATTGCCCATCTCAAGACCTTCCTCTTGATCCGTACCTTTGGTCACCCTCCTACCCCCACCCTCCCTGCCCTCCACAACCCCTCTTGATCCCAGCCCCCAGCTCGGGTGCTCATCCTGAACAGCCCAGCGCTTTGGGACATCCTCCCGACGTTAAAGGCCCTTTACAGATGCAACTTGTTGCTGTTCTCGTTGACTCAGCATTTGGTTGCTGCTATTTGCTATTTGCCCCCTCCTCTCCCCTTTCAAATCGATTTCCCCTCCCAACATGATAAGGAAGCCAGAGTTTTGATTATCAATCATTTAGGAATCTTGGCAACACCAAACAGTGAGCTGCAAAGCTCATAACCTGTAAAACACACCTCCCACTGGAGCACCTGAGGCCAAGACGTCAATACAATAATTGCCCTTGGCTGTGCAGGATTCTAGTCAGTGAGAAACATGAGCTGCCGTAGTAAACCAGAGACACAAAACTTTCTTTTCATAAACAAAAAAAGAAAATACATTTTCGACAAACCTTTTCTGACCTTCTCTGACCAAACACACGGACACTCTCGCTCTCTCCCACACATTTAATTTAAGGTTCACTTAATTAGTCATCTTCCATAACCAGTTCCTCGTGCAAATTATGAAACGGCGCAAATTTCCAACCCCTTTTTCTGCCAGAAATGGTAAACTTTCTGCCGTGGAGAGGCTTTTGAATCTTGAACGTTTTATTTGACAGCTTAGGCCTAAATGATATATTTAAAAACAAAAAAGACGGCTCTGTAGATCAGGACAGAAATGCAACTTCACATGCACGCGTGTTGTACTTCTCATGCCTTGCTTACTAACATCGAGCACCCGAGATTCGGGTGCAAAGTGGAGCATCTCAACGGCAACCAACCCTCTTTTGTGCCGAGATGTGATGACTGTTTATGTACCGCAAAAGGACTCTCTGAAGCACCGTGAGAGCGAGTGATTTAAGTGGCTGAGCAAGTGGATCTTTCAGCTCCAGGCTGCGTTACAATGCCATTCATTTCCAGTTACTTAAATCATTTTCCACTCACATTCAGGACCCATTTAAGTGGCGCTCCAGGGAAACTTCATCAAACACGTTTCTGTGAGCCCCGGTTGCCAGTTTCTCCCAGTTTCTTCAGCACGAATATCAAACTCGCTCATCTTCCCCAAAATGCATGATTAAATCAGCAAACAAGAGAGTCGTTCGTTGAAGTAACAGCTTGACACTGCAATGGGAGGAGGACCGGGTGGGGATTTGGGAAGGATGAGATCAAATGGGCTGAAATGCCTTCATCCTGTCTTAAGCAGAAGTCTTGTGTGATGTGCACCGAGGCTGTTAGTGCTGGGAGGGCAACGGTGGAATGAGGAATCAGCTGCTTGCACTTTGGGTCGAGAGTGCTGTGAGTCATCGGTTTGACATTGTGCTGATCGGAGACTGGGAGAGCGCAGAGCAAAGCTCACAATATGAGCCTTCCGCGGAGCGTTGCTTTACACTGTGGCGGGAAAGAGGAGCCAAGCCTTGGTTTTTCATCCTGTTTCGTGCGTTGAATGTTTGCATCAACAGCAAGAGTTTGCGCTATCGGTGTTCTCTGTGGGCCCGGGAGAGTGACACGACTGGGTTGTTCCTTTCACTCCGTAATTAAACATTTAATTTGACTTAAGTGTGAATTCAAATGTACTATGGGATGCTCCATCTCCTGACTTCAGAATAATGGGAGTCAGTTTTGTGAATGGCCTCCTCCTGTTCCTGTATTCCTATTTCTTGCAGTGGGACGAGAAATGACCAACAATTAGCAGAAATTGTCAGGGGGAGGACGCTGATTGCCTTTCATTGTCAGCTATTTGCAAAGAATATTTACCAGGATGGTACTAGGGATGAGGGATGTCAGTTATGTGATTCTGTTCGCTGTTTGATAGGAGTTCGGTTGGTAAGATTTACCCTTCACATCGCGTTAGGGCATCAATAACAATTGTCCAACATCACGTTGAGTTTTGTCAACTTCCTGTGCTCTTCCTGAGGAATAGGATGGAGTAAATAAGTGAACGGTTCTGACGTGATTTGAATAATTGATACAGTCTTGTATCACGTGAGTTTTTTTTTATCAAATCCAGAAATGAATTAATATCTCCAGGAAGGATGTGAGAATCTCAGGTTTCTCCCTTTGAGCTTGTTATCAGTGAATTTCTCTGAAACCCATGGCTGATAACTTGTGACACATTGTCCCTGATGATTCCACACGTACCCTGGGCCTTTTTCCTCACCGTATATATATCTTCCTCCCACCTTTTTATGAAACGTTGCATTTTGGATTCTCCTGTGCTTTATTGGCCCCTGATGTATTGTGAGCTGAATCTCGTATGACAAAAGTATTTACACCAAGGAGGATAATTTATTCTGCAGCAAACTGGTTAGAGCACTTGCTTCACAAGCAAGAGGACCAGGTTTTGATTCCCGGGCAAGGCGAAACCTTTGGCAGGTTTGCTGAGTCCACACGCCACTGTTTACCTAGCAATAAGTAGGAACCCAGTTGTTAGTTGATTGGCGGATCTCCTTCTGGAGGTGATAATCCCTTTAAAAAAAATCTAAAATAATAATTTAGTCACAAATCTATAATTGTAGGCTCCTACTTTCAGCGCACGTGTGCTGGGCTGGGGTTCTGCCAAAGCTTCCTGTTAGTACTGAGCCAATCAGTCGACCTTCAACTGTGGAGGGGATAACTGAGAGGGTAAGTTTGAGACACTGCGATTCCTGTGTGCGTTCTTCACACAGCACTGACTAATGCGTTGAGATAGTTAATGTGACAGCTCAAGCCAGTGTCTCTCTGATAAGAGGCTTCTCTCGATCTTTGTCTGAGTTGCTGTGATGAGAGTTTCTCTCCCTCCCCCCCACCACCGCCCACACAAAAAAAAAACACACATACATTGGGGCAGTTTTTCATTTACTCTTAAAAGGACAATGGTAAATTGTTTGGGGGGAAAGTTCTCATAGAGAGCCGGCAGAGACATGATGGGCCGAATTGGGCCGAATGGCCTCCTTCTGTGCTGTTAACGTGTATTAATAATCCTTGCATTTGATATAGCGCCTCAGCACATCGTCGAGATGTCTCAAAGCGCTTCACAGAAATATACTATAAAGTGAATTGACCGCATATTTTGTGGGCGGAACGTGTAATTGG